CTCTCTCTCTCTCTCTCTCTCTCTCTCTCTCTCTCTCTCTCTCTCTCTCTCTCTCTGTGTCTCTCTCTCTCTCTCTCTCTCTCGCGCGCGCGCGCGCACACTCCCACAAAAAAAGGAAGAATCATCCCTTCACATCACAAGCCGTAAACAAAAGTTTAAAAGAGAACAACAAGAAAAAACTGAACCTGGGGGACAAACACAGTAAAATGGAAAACGTCAGAAAAGGCTAATCCGACCAAGTCCGGTAGAACCGTACTTCGCATTTTGCACATAGCCGCCCCTAAAGTTCGGCCGAGAAACACTGCAGTCAAATGACAAGGCAGTTCAATCAAAAAATGGAAAATAGCCCCCACACACGTGGGGACGGTAACACTACCTTGAGGGAAACTGCTCATCATATGAGTATGAGACTGCCTCCCGTAAATGACGAGGGATCGATCCTGATGTCGAAATGACCCTTAAGTAAATGACACATATGGGACTTTGTAAACAAAAGAGAGAAAGGATCTCTTCGACACGAAACTCACTCGCTGATGTCGTGGGCGCAAGCGCCGGCCATCATCGCCATCAGTCCCAAACGGCGGTTGAGCTCTCACTGCTGGCCCGTAAAGCGACTTCGCGAATGACGAACGCCGGGAACTCTTAGCGCCCTCATCGGATAAATCTTGATGGTCAGCCCCTCCTCCTTTGCAACAACAAGGTAGATGCGATAGAACGGTGCCTGCCTTTCCCTGAAAACAAACATACAGGAGCATAAAAAAAAAAAAAAAAAAAAAAAACACACGTAAGGCATACGCCGGACCATAAATACTTTCTGTAATACTAAAAGAAAAAGAAAAAAAGGACGTGTCAGGTGGTCAGGGCCATCAAATGATACTTTTTCCCGTTAAAAAAGACAAATCAAAAAGGCCCCATCACGCATCCTTACATCCAGACACGTGTCCGAATATTTCACATTTCACATTGACACATGTCCGAATATTTCACATTTTTGACACTGCGCCTCGCTCCCACTACACAGCGCACTAAACGTATACGGACTTGTTTAGAAGTCCAATACATTCAAAATGTTCCATCGGTCCGTATGTATCTGGTTTTCACCTTCCAGTCCACACACTTCGCGAGTGTTGACTACCGTCTTCCCCCGAACACAGCGCACCCTGATTTTGGATGTATCTGGCCGGAAATATAGCTTGTATACATTCATTTTCAGGGTGCGTTATGTTCGGGGGAAGACGGTAGTGGAGCGAGGCCCATTGATTCATTATTAGAGTATTTTATACATTGTCAATATGCATCTCTTCCCACGGGCTTCTTCGTCAGAAGATAGCCGTAGCTTTTTCTTTTTCTTGTTTTTCTTTTTTTAAATCTGTACTATATTCTTCACTCAAATTCTTTCATCTTTCACAACCTACCTACCACTACTCCTAAGGCTATACAGGGGACCCCTGCAAGCATAGCGATCTACCTCTCTCAGAGAAGGGAGGTTACCTTCTCGGGGGAGGAAGGTTTCGGTGCGTGGCCTGACCTTTATTCTTTCTTGTTGGGTAATTGGGTGGTGAGGACGGGCGGGCGGGAAGGAAGGGAGTGGGGGGGGCCGGGCGTGAAGGGGAGAATACCGCACTGCGCCTTCAGCATCAGGGATTTCTATTCTCCATGCCCCCACTGAAGCTGAGAATTTGCCCCTCGTTGCTAGTGGTATTGTCCTCCATGCCCCCTTTTTATTGCCCTAGTAGCGAATTCAAAATCGAAAGGACGCGAATTGAACTTCTTGGCCTTCAGCCGTGATTCAGTGGAGCGAATTGAAAATCGAAAACTAAGAACATACATCAGTGCGATGTCACACATATCCTTTCACGGCGGGGGGCAAGCAGTCCCGTCACACCCTTGGGCGCTCTTAGTTTTCACTCGGTGCACCCCTTCCAATCGTCAAAGAAAAGGTTTTTCGTCGAAGAAAAGAAAAGGTTTTTCGTCGAAGAAAGAAAGGTCTTCACTGGTGTTTCCCGTGATGCAAAGCTGTGCCCTCAAGGTTTCGTTTCCCGTTTGAGCGCTGATTCCCCCCAAGGGTTACGGGCAAGGGCTATCATCCCATCAAAATAGCCACTATGATCATGCATGGGAAGCACGAGCCTCGCCGTAATAACAGTCACACGTTCGTGCTATCATCCAATCAACATAGCTCTGCCCCTAATACTCTACATGTCTCCTTCGCTCCCCTACAACGCTGTACAATCAACATAGCTCTCCACAGGAGTCTGCCCCTAATACTCTACATGTCTCCTTACGTGGCGCATACTCTGCATGTCACAGCGACCAAGGGACTGCAATGGACAACGCTGTACAATCCCGTCGTAACTGCGGTACACATCCTGACTCCCACGAACCCCTTCTGCCTGATGCTCCGTTGCTCCACTCGCACTAATATTAGTCACTATTGGTCCGAATCATCATCATGTTTGCGTCCACTTCCATAAAAACTTAGTATAGGAACACAGATGCAGGCGGACGAAGAATACAAGAACCCGTAGTCCTGTCCGTAATAGCTGGTAGTGAGAAGGCATCCCCTAAGAAAGACGGAGGAAGAAAGAGCCTCGAAGAGGGCCATGCAGAGGGAGAGGCAGAGAGGCAGAGAGGCAGAGAGGCAGAGAGGCAGAGAGGCAGAGAGGCAGAGGGAGAGAGGGAGAGAGGGAGAGAGGGAGAGAGGGAGAGAGGGAGAGAGGGAGAGAGGGAGAGAGAGAAAGTAAGAGAGGGAGGGAGGGCGGGAGAGGGAAAGAGGGAAAGATTGAGAGCAAAAGATAGAAATGAACAGGTCAAGAGAGTTCAAGATCAGGAGCAGGAGGGGAGGGGAGAGAGAAGACGGAGATAGAGAGGGAAATGTGGAGAACGAGACAGAAGGATGGGAAAAAGACAAAGGGAGAGCAGGGAGGCAGCGAAAGGCAGAAACGAGGGGGAGCAAGAGAGACTTGGGTAAGAAAGATTGAGGAGGGGTAACACAACCACGACATGCAAGACAGGAAGAGACAGAGAGAGAGGGAGAGATGGAAGACTATAAATGAAAGAGCGTGCAAATGAAATCAACACGTGCAGTTAGCGGATTCGTCTATTGATCAAGGAATCATCCATTCCAACCTAAGACCTTACAAATTTGAGAACCGTTGGTTCATATAGGACAGATACATCGATAGGTAGATGCATACATTTTTCCCTCTATATGGGCAAACTGCTCAAGACTCATACGCACCTATTTAGCTGGCGAGCTCATCGGTCCAAAATAGGACACCACGGCACACAAACTGGAAAAAGACATGAGAGGTAGGTAATGATCTGATCGGTGCACAAACACATACCATCTCATCATCATCAGATGAAGCGCCTTCATTTCTGACAAAAGAAAGGATTGTCTGAAATCAAGGAACCTAAACACCCACTTCGTTGACCCTTAGGGCGTCCTCACACTACGACTTTTCCACTATTGCATTCTCACTACAGATAACAATCTGTCCGTCCGCACCGATCCAAGGATCGAACACGCGACCTCCACGTTAAAAGGTAAACACTCAACCAAACGGCTAAGTGGACTGGGGTGAAAGTTAAGCCCCAAGATGAGTACTTAACCCCACCCCAGCACGGGTACTCGTTTTTCCCCGCGACCCGGTGTACCCAGTCACACACGCGCACCCAACCAGGGTGTGTAGACGCAGCCACCATACAATGTACGACCTCACTGCTGGTTGCTACGCAGGTAAGAATTGCCGTCATACTCGTCCGAATATGGCCGTAATGGCAATCAGACACATTTCGGAAAGTCCTAGTTTGAGCATTCCCTTACTAGGGTGCTCAGATACACGCGAGGGCCGCCGTTACATGAAGAAGAACCATTGAGCCAATGAACAGTCCGATCGACGGTGACAATCAAGTCTGCTTTTTTGCTTCTTTTGTTTCCTCGCACGCTGGGTTATCTTTAGAGAGAGAGAGAAGGGGACTTAGTGTATCAAGGGCGCATACAGCTTTCGTTCGAAATCAGATTGAGAGTGCTCTAGATATTTCATACAGCCAAACAAGCATCAAGAGCATACGGCTTTACCTGAGACTGACCGTACAGATTGAGAGTGCTCTCGATATTTTTTTATTTTTATTTGTTTTTGGACCATTTCTCGATTTATGCGTGTCATCTTTGCGCAGGGGCCATGCTAATCTACTCTGTATCGTTCCAATTTTAACGTATGTCCCGAAGGACTGCTCTCGATATTACAAAAAATGACGAGGAAGAGATGAAAGACACGATAGATGACGATAGCATAATTCCCGTTCCACGACGGTACAGATTGAGCATAGGCGCAAATTCCCGTTCCGCGACTGAATTCCCCCGCCCATATGCTCAAAATGGACAATAGTACTCAGATTCAACTTACCGTCAAGGACAGTCTGGACCGCCGCGAACCGTTTATAAAACAGTTCTGCGGACCGATAGACCACGACAAAGCGCTCAGATTCCAGGGCGGGCAATACATCATCTACCACGACTTGGGATAGTGGAATGACCTCACCGGCGATACGCAGAGAACAGAAAGGGTTCTCTCTCTCTCTCTCTCTCTC